TAAAACTATAATATGGTGCACCTCATTGAGATGAACATTTAAATATTTTAACCCAAATTTTCTGCACATAGTAAGCATTTAACAAATGTTCCTTGTCTGACCCTCTCTCACCCTCACTAACCCCAGATTCCATTTTGCCTCCATCCAGATTTTACTCTGATCAAACTAGCCTGGGATTTCAGAGGACATTATAAGCTATGTTTCCATTCTCTGGCCTCATCTTTAGCCTCCACATCAACTAAGAGCCCCTACCTAATATATGCCAGGCTCTAGGCCAAGTGCATTTGTTTTTAAATAATTTAATTCTCAGAGCAGTCCTGAGTAATGAACTGAGTGTTTAGAAAGGGAAACAACAACAAACAAACAAAAATAAACTAGTCCAAGATAAAATGACAATGAAGCTATAAAACCAGGATGCAAATCTAAGTGAGCAACCCAGAGGAGAAACAAGAAAGAAAAATAAAGATTGCATTAAGTGCCAAGGAAGACAAAGAAGGGTGCAGTTGGCTGGGCAAAGATTTGTGACAAGGATCTTCTAACTAACATTCCAGTTGCAGCTCAAGGGTGACAAGGAGCAGTGACCATGGTGTCAGAGGAACATTTCGGAGTCAATAAACACAGTTGGACCTGTGTTCTAGAAACAAGCACAGTGGCCCAAGGAACAGGGTGCCTAGTGTGAATATGTGATTTTGAAGGACAGGTGGCCTGGTGACCTGTGACATCAAGGATGATGGGAGGATGGGGGATGGTATTTTAAATGCAGCACAAGTCTTGGACTGGCTTTTAGGGAGATGGCTTCATAATCAGTTTATATTTTAGTAGAAAATGTGGTTTGTTTTTTTCATTGAAAACAAACAATTGGAATATTGTGGAGTTTTCAAAGCTGTATAAAAGATCCATTGTGGGTCACAGAGTGTCAAGGATGTATGTAATGTATGTAGTGAGGCCTGGCTCCCATGGTAACCCAGGTGGGAGTTTAAGTTCTACACTATTGAAGCCTCATCCTTCCCTTTCATTTCTATCCTGAAGCTACTTCCCTGTCCTTCACAAATCAGATTATATAAATCCAATGACAAAATTATTTTTAGAGTCGCTTTTGATTGAGGTTGTTAAGTCAGTATTTTTTTCCAGAAAACATTAAAAGATAATAGTTTGATTTAGAGTAGGAGGACTCTTCAGGATAAAGTACAACTTTTTACTTTAACAAAGAAATTGTAGCTCAGCTTTGCTGTGTAATGGTGATCACAGTAACACATATGGGAGGGCTGGACTACAGTCAGGTTTCTTGTGACTGGCTAAAGTGTCAGGCAAAGGGCTTTTGAAGAGAAGACAGTGTTATTCAGAAAGCCCAAAGGGGTAGAAGCATTGTGGAAGGGAGTAGCATGACCTGGGGTGGAGAACAAATGCAGGCTCTAGAGTTGTCTCTAAAATCACCATGGTGTATGAGGCTCACCGAAAAGTTTTAGAAAGACCATACAAAAGATAAGCATTACTGAAGATAGATAACACAGTAGGAGAGTGCATGTTAGCCTCTTAGTATGTGTGTGGATGGACCTAAGGTTAATTCCAATCAAAACTAAAATGGAGGTAGATATGTTATAAGAAAAACAAAATTGAATGCATTGGAAGAAGAAGCTATAGGTGGAATTAAACTGGAAATGCTCATAGGAATAGCAAGCGTCTCTTAGGTCTGGCATCACAGAGGTTTAAAGGCAATGTCAGTGTTGATTGTTAGAGCATTAAAGATGAATGTGAGCTTCTTGAAAAGCTAAGAGGACAAAGGTGTCTGCTGTTGGAGGCTTTCTCTGGCTGAACTGAACTGAGATAAATCCACAGCCAGTTTGACAAACTTTTTCAAATGAGCATAATTAGATCTGCTAGCATTACTTGAGCATAAGGAATTAGCAGCAGGGAGAGGTCATTGGAGACTTCAACAAGAGTGATCACAGTAGGACATTGAATAGGAGAGACTAATGGAGTTGAAGAAAGAAGTAATAGGGCATTAGTGCCAGGGAGAATGATTTGAACACTTACTAAAAATCAGTTTTCTTGTTTAAAAAGCTAAACAAAACAGAACAAAAACAAACAAACAAATGTGACATTGTAGTGGCAGCTGGAGACAGGAAGCAAGCCTAAGTAGTAGGGGTAATCAGAAAAGAACTGGAACCCAAACTCCTAGCCTTGCAGTCTGATGGGGTCTAAGGAGCACTTGGTTTCACTCTTGGTACACAGGAGCAATTTAGTAACTATGGTGATGATTTGTTGTTCTCTTTCTGTTTGTCTTCCTGCATCCCATCCATACTAATAGAAGGCTATGATTCCTGTAACACAATTAGCCAGGGGAGAGTTTTAAGTCCTGGAGGCGTATTAGAGGAGTGGAAGTCTCTAGAGCAAAACCAGTCATTGCAGGGCACAGATCAGGAAGAAATTCTATTCATTTAAGTTAACAATAGACAAATGTGCTCTGAATGTAGCCCGCAGTGTTACCATTGCATATTTTAGTTTGTTCCCAGAGCTATAACTAGTAAACATTTTAATGTAATAACAGAAGTGCTCTTATCCCTCTCCCCAAAATAATTATATTTGTCTTGTCTGAGGAGAATATAGGATTTAGTGGTCTTTGTTTCACAATAAAAAAAAATAAGCGCTGGGCGTTGGTGGCGCATGCCTTTAATCTCAGCACTTGGGAGGCAGAGTCAGGCGGATCTCTGTGAGTTCAAGGCCAGCCTGGTCTCCAGAGCGAGTGCCTGGATAGGCTCCAAAGCTACACAGAGAAACCCTGTCTTGAAAAAAAAAAAAATCAAGTCTGTGTTCATTAAGTTAAAGTGTTGGATCCAAAATAAACCTTCTCACTTTTAGGAAGAATTCTCACAAGTATCATGCTAAGTGCCCCATCAAGACTGAAGTGTGGTTTTGTTTCATGCCTTGTGCTAAGGATCAGTACCATTTTGTTGTTGATTTTGTTATGTAAGTATCTATAATCTGATGCCCCCTTCTGGCTTCCACAGTTTCTCTCTCTCTCTCTCTCTCTCTCTCTCTCTCTCTCTCTCTCTGTCTCTCTCTCTGTCTCTCTCACACACACACACACACACACACACACTCACAAAAATTTTAATAAATTAAATAGTATTTTTGAATATATTTATAATACATCTTCCAAAAGTAAATATTAGGAGCTATTAGATTTTAATATGGCTTTTGAATTTTAATGCAATATTATTTAATTATATTATTAACTCTACAAAGCACACCTCAGCTTTGCACTGTGATCACAGTAAGATGTACAGGAGGACTGGAGTAGAATCCAGGTTTCCTGTAAACTGTTCAAGTGTCAGTTCAAGGGCTTTTGAGGAAGGGCCAATGTTAGAATTTTGGTTTTGTCTATTTAAAAATTATGCTCCTACCTGACTTGTAGAAAATTACTAAGTATTTTGTAGGCAATTTTGTCATTTTTAAAAGCCCACCATTAAAATACATACAGTTGGTGGAAGTCTTCGTTAAGAGAAAAATGAGTCTTTACTCAGCAACAGAAGCGACTTAGCCCCATCACAAACATCCATACGGGAATTGATTCTGCCCTAGAAGTGATCTGACTTCTGGTTTGGAACTTCATGTGGTTGAGAAAAATCTGACTTTGAGCTTTATTGTATCCTATTAGAATTAATTCTTCATTCAAGCAAGTATCTGCTCTCGTAGTATTTACTATGTAAAAGAGAGATCCAGACAAACTGAAGAAGCCACTAATTTAAATCCTATTAAGTGACCAGGCAGTGGTGGCACACACCTGTAATCCCAGCACTTGGGAGGCAGAGGCAGGCGGATCTCTGTGAGTGTGAGACCAGCCTGGTCTACAGAGCGAGTTCCAGGATAGGCTCCAAAGATACACAGAGAAACCCTGTCTCGAAAAACAAAACAAAACAAACAAACAAACAAGAAAAGAAAAAAGAAATTTGATAGTCCTATAATATTGGTGTAATTGAACATGGCCTTTGGGGACTGTTAAATCTCATAGTATAAATGTTATCAAAATAATTTGCTGTAAGTGTAGCTCTCCATATAGCATGTTCAATTTTAAAAAGCATTTATAGATTTTGAAGTACATTTTTTGTTAACTATAAGTCATATATGGCAAAAATATAGCTTTAAAAGAGATATGACTAAAATTCTGCCTGTGAAGTTAATAATATAATTAATAATATTAGATTAGCCACTTAATAGAGTGCTGTTCCAGGACAGAGAGATTATCAGCTCACACTAGCTGTACTTACTGTCCCGAATGTTTCTTTGCTTTATGTTTTCCCTTCCCACTGTTGCTCTAGCTGCAGTCATGTGTTAGCAAGTAGAACTCTTTATGGCCCCAGTTCCTCTGGAAAGGTCATTAAGGTCACTCAGAGGCATACTCACACATGGATCCAAATTGCTTTTGCATTGCCTTGGATTACTTCCACTAGAGGATAGAAAAGGGTTACAATCAATCAGTTTGGAGCCCCTGGGAGAGCAGGGAAGTCAGGGCCTAGAGAAAAATGTGTGGCTGTGGTGGTCTGTTCAGACACAGAGAAGAGGCTGGTGTTCAGTCTTCCTATGCAGTCAGATAAGCTTTGTCAGGGAGTCAGAGAAAGTGAACTCTGACTAATTCTCATTTGTAAACAAACTTACACGGCAGGTTTGAGAACCTGGGAAACTTGTGCATGTGTGTGCATGTGGGGGGGCACATAGTGTGTGTATACATGGTGTGTGTGTGTGTGTGTGTGTGTGTGTGTGTGTGTGTGTGTGCGGTATATGTGCAGAGGGGTCATGTTGAATGTACACATGATATGTATATGTGTGTGTGCGTGGTGTGTGTGTGTGTTTGTGTGTGTTTGTGTGTGTGTGTGTGTGTGGTGTATGTGAGTGTGTGTGTTTATGGGTACACTTTTGTGGGGGGTAGGCATTCATTTATATGTGTGCAGGTACTGCTAAAACTCTGTCACATGACCCCCAAATTGCAGCATGTTTTAAGGCAGTGACATATCATTCTGGAAAACTGAGTAGGAAAAAAAAAAATACTCCCTTCTCTTGGTACAACTGAGAAAGGCCCAAAATGCAAAAGACATCATTACTATCCCAGGAAAATCATATGGATAGTGAAATAAGTTATACAACAAGGGTAAGGTAAGGAAATGGTGTGGATTATTAATGCAGGTTCTTGTTACCCTCTTCTCTACATAAGCTGAACAGTTATTCAAAGAATGTTGGCTTGAAGGGAAACCAAGTTATCAATCCATTTTAATAGCCTTTTGTCTTCCCAGCCCTCTGTTTACATGAGCTTCATATAACTATGATCTTTTTTTTTTCTATTTCTAGTGTCCATGGAAAACATTGGTGAACAAGGTAAAATATTATTATGGTTGCAGAGATAATGTCTTAAGAATAGTTCGAGAAAATAAATTGTATCCAGTATATTCAGTTGGGATTAAAAAAAATATCCTTTGACAATATGGTAGTGTGATGGAACTTATGACATCTCATTTTTCTAATTTCCCAAGCTAAATTCTGTCACATACTTGGCAAATACTCTATAATGGCCATAATCGTTTCAAAGACCATTATAGCTCCAAGACCCAAGGGTATGAACAATCTCCTGTCCCAACTTGAGCTACTACTTCATAAATGAGTTATCTATCTGTAGAGTTTATGAAATACTGCCTCTATTCGTGTTATGCTGATTTAAGTTCCATATTAGATAATCCAGATTGCGAATGAATCCACAGGTATAAATATCATAATTCTTTAGAAAAAATAAGAATTGCTAGTGAAAATTTAAAATGTAAAACATGTCATATCCTGCTTATTTATTTGTTTAGTCTTGGTTAGGAGTAGAGGCCTGGTGCCATTTAGAAAAGAAGTCGACCACTGGTCCATACCCCTAACCCTCAAACATGTCTATACTCTGAATTGGCATATTTTTCCGCAATTGATTACTTCATAACTATGCTAATGTATTATTCAAACAGAATTATTACTGGTATATGAAATAATTATTTTAAATTCATTTAATATTTCCAGCCTTTAAAAGAACATACAAAGTGTGTTTTTATTATCAAAAAATATATACTCAGGACAGTTTTCTTAACAGTTGTCCTGTGTACTAAATCAGGCATTAGAACCCCCACAGGCAGAAATCACTTCCTCCAGATGGTCCCTGTTTACATGTTGTTATTATAACCAAGAGAGCCACCAGTGTCAACCAGAGCTAAGCAAACAGACAAATGGCTTCTCAGATGGGAGCTGCTTTCTCTGCCTCTCATTAAGCAAAGTTCATAAAGCCTGAGAGTCTGAACATTTGCTGAATCTTGGGTTTCCGCTTATATAACCACCCCATTTTCACAACTGAGGTAAGATCTGATCAGCCAGTTTGCAAAAAGGTGGGCCTATGTACATATGGGTGGTTCTAGTTGTGGATATAGATGTAATGGTACATTCAGAGATGTTAAAATATCTTTTTGACTGCAGGTTTTTATCCAAAGAGTTGCACTTATCTGAATATGGTATAAATACTATTTATAGTGCATCATCGTTGTTAATTTGAATATTCTGTGAATACCATGACTTCAGTAAAATTGTGCACATTATAGTGATGATTGTGTTTCTCTCCTTTTAGTTATGTGCCTCATGGCTTATCATCTACTTTTTGCAATGTTTGTCTGGTCGTACTGGAAAACCATTTTTACACTGCCCATGAATCCTTCAAAAGAAGTAAGTTAAAGCACTAGCAAAGTTATCCTATGTATAGCAATTGGTAATATTGACTTCTGAAAATAAATATCCTTCTTTTCATTCGTTGTTACAAACTACTGAATACAGTGATGTTTTTTAATTTAAAAACTCTGTATATGTTAATAAACACTGGGATTTTTGCTAGGTACTTATTTTTGTATCTGATAGAGTTATTCTATCAAATCTTCTATGCATTTCTTTCTACTTTGGACGTATCCAGATGGATCAGTAAGATATAGGTGAGAGATGATAGATGATAGATAGATAGATAGATAGATAGATAGATAGATAGATGATAGACAGTTTGACACAATTCATACTAAGCATTATACTAAACACATATTTGTTGTCTGTCAATCACCAGAAACAACAATAAATTGCCTGACTCATTTTATCTGTATTCAAGAAATCTATAGCTAGTCCACAGATTTTACACATCCAGACTCCTTTCTTATTGTTCTGTCACATGATGTTTTGATTCCATGAGCCACTACTTGGCAGAAGATGTAGCTCTAATTCCAGACATTATGAATATATTACAGCCACAGGCCATAGGCCTGTAGGAAAGAGGTGCCCTTTCCCATCAGTGATATTTTCTTCAAGTTACTGATTCCATTTCCACTTGCATTTAGATGACTTCATTATGTGACCACATCTCACGTGGAAGCCTAGGAATGTCATTGTTATTCTAAATGGTCATGTCAGCCACTAAAGAGAGGAGTGGTTATTGGGGACAACAAGCAATCTTTAATACCTAAGGTCTAGATAAGTGGAAGCATATACCTAAATTAAATTTGCATTTTGAATATATTAGGCTGTTCATTTCTGGGTCTCTCATTTGGCTAAATGATTTAAGAGTGAGGGGTAGTATCTTACACACCTTTGTATTCTTGGCATGTGCACCAATATGTATTTGTTAAATTTAAATTACATTGTTGTTCATTTCATAGCATATTTTTAGTAGGCCAGGTTAAAAAGAAAAGGCATCACTATAGACAGTTCCCTAAAGCTATCAGTTTGAAATGCATCCCTGACCATAGAGGTCAATAACCATGCTTTCAGCCTAGAAAAAGGAGTGAAAGCCAAACCACATACATTTGCACAGAAATAATGGTATGTGTGGACTAGAATGCTTCACAAGCCTTCTTTTCTTTGGCTCTCCACTTCCTTCTCCTTTTCTATGTGTTTTTCCTTTCCTCATATAGTGTTCACTTCTTCCTCATCATTCCTCTCACAGTCTTGGCCTTTGTGTAGGTTTGGAAGAAGATGCTGGCTTCTATCAAATGGCTGAATGATCTCATCCACTCAGGTGGCTTACTGACCACTTCTGTGATGATGACTTTCACATCTGTTCCCAGCTCTGATTTCTTCTGAGAGCTTACTACCTGTGTCTCTCTGTCAAGACTTTCCACTTTGGTAGTCCAGTGACACTTTATATACAAACAGAGATCACTACTTTGTCAATCTTACCATCTCTATTGTCTATCTCCATTATCTGACAAAGTAAAAATCTTCATGGAATTTATGTCTAATGTATACCCCATTCCCAGAACCCTGCAAAGGTTTATCCTCTACCATGAAGCTAGAGTGTTCCATCTAAAGAGAAATTTAACATTTCAATCTACTGTATGTGTCTGTTCTGTGACTGCACATAACTCCCACAGGGGAAAATCTGGTCTCCCTTGCCTGGCAACAATTATCCTTGTCTGGGTCTCTGGACTTCCTACTTTATGTTCTTGTAACTCTTAACTCACACAGCTTCCTGAATGTACAATCCCAGTATTTTTTCTTTCTATAATATTCTTTCCCCTTTCTTATTAAAACATGGTAGTTTGCATCTGTACCAGCAGCAATTATCTCTTGAAATTCTCAAGCATGGTATTATACCAGAGTTCAGTTTCCAGATGTCTTTTTTTAAAAATGTATTTGCATTGGCGATCCCATTTAATTTTATAACTTCATTTCATATAGTATCCCATTGGTATAACTCTCAAATTAATACATTAGCCCAGACCCTTCTCCTGAGCTCCAGACTCATCAAAACTATCTCTCTGGCATCAAACAAAAATTTTAAATTCAATGTATATCAAAACATTTGGGTCTCCTACTCAGTTTTCTAATCATATTCTTAAAGTTATACCATCTCAAAAATGGCATTGCATATTCCATTCTCCAGGCCAAAATCTTTATTTAGAGTCAGCCTTGACTCTTCTTCCTCCTCCATCTCATTTACAGTTAGCAATTTAGCTTCAGACTATAACTTTGGCTGATGCCTACAGTGTGAGCTCATGCCCCCCCCTGCTCCCACTCTGAGCCAGGGCATCATCTCTCATTTACATATTTGCAGTATCATGTTGAGGGTTTCTCTAACTACACCATTAAAAACAGCAAACATCCTAGGACAAGCATAGAAACTAATCACAATGAATTTAAAACTTGATCAGACTTTCCTGGGTGTTTGCTTCACACCAAACCATATTTATATGTGTGTGTGTGGGTGTTCAGATAACTGTGTGGGGTAGATATTAGTTGATATCATTGTGTGTGTGTGTGTGTGTGTGTGTGTGTGTGTGTGTGTGTGTGTGTGTGTCTATGTGTGTGCAGTTACCTTCAGAGGCCTGAAGAGGATTCAGATACCCAGAAACTGGAGTTAGAGGTGCTTCTGAGCCACTTGGCATGAGTGCTAAGAACTGAACTTGGGTCCTCTGCAAGAGCTCTTAACCACTGAGAACTAATATTGCTAATTTTCATAACAGCACAATTTTCTCCTTGGAATATGTAATGACTGAAGTAATGATACCCCCAATTTTAAATTCTTATGCTACCCCTACCTCATATTATATATGGTACTGATATTACTATGTTTGTATGTAGAACTTTACCCACATTTTAAATTATTTCCTTAATAAAAATTCTCCTAAACAGAATTACTAAATCAAGAAAATTTCAGTTTCTTGCCAAATTGTTATCCAAAATGACTGCAGTAATTTTCAGTTCTACCAGTTATATCTGACTCTTGGCATTTCTTGTTATTATGAAGTCTCTGTTAGCAACTTAGCAGGCAAATTGTTCTATGTTTTTACTTCCACATTTTAGATTCTAGTTGAGGAGATTGTGTGTGTGTGTGTGTGTGTGTGTGTGTGTGTGTGTGTGTGTCCTAGATGAAAGGCAACTAACAGAAAGAAAATGTATTTATGTGAGTTTTTCTGGTTCTTTTTAAAATATAAAAATGGTTTTTCTCTTTGTATCTATGATTAAAATTGAGCCCCACTTTAATCTGGAAACTATAGATGACCTCAGATGTTGGTTCCTACTACATTTACCAGTAGGAAAAAGCCAGACATTTTGGAGAAATGTTTACTTTTAGGATTTGTAGGAATAATGAAGATGAGTCAAGGGCATCCTTTACCGACAGAAAATAAGGAAGTGCTAAGACAAAATGCAAGGAAGAAAATTGTCAGAGCAACACAAGGGCCAATGGAAGAACTCCCAGTGGGAAATGGCAAATGATTTGAGCAGCAGAAATCTCTGAGCACGAAATAAACATCTATGAGACCATTTAATTAAATAAATAATTGAGTAAATTGATAAATAAGTAATAGAACAGAAACACACATCCAATAGAATACTTCTAAATAATTTCTATGAATCTTCATCTTTTAGCGGTGGAGTTATAAATTTTCATGCTTTATATATGAGCAAGTTCCCTCCAAAGAGTACAGGGTGGAAAAGAAAAGTACTGAGGAAGTGTGCAGTGTAAACCCATGACAAAAAGCTCCCTCAGGCTGGAGAGATGGCTCAGTGGTGAGCAGCACTTGTTCTTCAAGTTTTCAGTACCCATATAGTAGCTTACATTCAACCATAACTCTAGTTCTAGGGGATATGGTGCAATTCTCTAGCTTCTGAGAGTACCAGATATGCAAGTGTTATTTATACATACCTGCAGGAGAAACATCCATACACAAAAAATAAATCTTAAACAAGCAAAATGTTAACCCTCTCTTGACTATGTGATTAAGACCAGCATGATAGGTCCAGTCATGCTGGCAATGATAGTTTTTTCACCTAAAGATCCATAACCCTCAATCATATCAGGAGACAAACTTCAGAAAAGTTGTGATTAAATGGACGTGCGCAACACCAGTAGTACTCAGAACCACCATAGTAATAACAGGAAAAAAGAAAAGGAAAACAGAAACAATGAAGGAAAGTCCGAGAAACTGCCAAGACTAAACTGAAGCTGAGGGCATATGGCAATCAAAAATACTATGGGATTTTCATAATCCTGAATTATGCAGATATATGGAGTAGAAAAAGATATTCCAAAATAGCAAATCTGAATATCTATGCTTAACTTTATGTTATGCACTTTAGTTAATAATGTATCAGTATTATTTTTACTAAAGTGCTAAATGTGCCAAGCTACTGTAGTGATTGGCTATATATAGGAACTTTAGAAACTTTACAGTATTTTCAATTTGTTAAGTAAATCTAATGTACTCTTTAAAAATAAAATAAAACTAGTCTAACAGAAGCAAAACCAGGATATATGAAAAGCTGTGACATCTGGAGGTTGGAGAATATATCAGGAGTACCCAGCTCTACTTTTCAAGATGCTCAGTACTTTCAGAGCTGTTCAGATAGAATATTCTAATCTGTGAACTGACAGGACTTTGCATATCATAATGTTCTGCAGGAGGAAGCGGTGGAGCGGAGGACCAAATAGCTCTACCCTATTCCAAGGTAGAACTTCCCTTTCATATAGGTTGAATCCTCAGTACTGGCAAATAAAGTATATTAATGTGAAATTTAAAGAAAATCAACTGAAAATGCCCAAGCAAACATTCAGCCAATATATAGGACATTCTTAATTTTCTTATCTGCTATACACTTCACAGTTGGGTTTTCTGTACTCCCCAAGAAGAAACGACCATTCTTCATTTTATTAAAATTATTCCCTTCTTCTTTATAATTTTATAAATTATATTATCAATAAGGGTGTTCCCTTATTGATAATATAGCTTCTTGATTCTGACACTTTATAGAGAATGTATTTTCTAGGGTAATTTCTAGTTGCAGTTTTCATCAAGACATTGAGATATGGTCCTTCATAGTTGGATTGTTGTAGTTCATGGGTAAGCACCAGTAGTATGTTTAGATGTATCTTGTCCTGGTTTATTTACCTACTACCCTTTAATAGACATTGGATTGAGTTTATATTTTTCCCATCTCAAAGAACAGCATTGAGGTTGATCTGTTATGTTCCTTTTGGACCTATTTATAGGGATTTATACAGCACCAACTTTGGGACTTTTGTATGTATATGTACCTACATGTTTCCTAGTAGGAATCAAAACAATTTTTGTTTTTCTCAAATAAGGATGGTTAATTGCTTGAGCCAAACTGTCAATATAAGCAGTAAGATGAATACTTAGCTATTTCAGTATCAAAGGAGATTCTGTGTGACAATCTTGCCTAGGTTCAAACTATCATAAATGAGAATATATATATAAATCCAATTGATTTTTCCTGATTTTGTTCCTAATGGTATCCAGATGAAAAATTCATCTGTTGAACCGTGCCATTTTATCTATTATATAATTAATATTTTGGCAGAATTATTCATTTTATAAACAATTTTCTGCATCCTGTTCTCTTTAAGTTCAAAAACACTTAAAGAAATGGGTATAGTAATTATTATACCTATCATTATCATCATCATCATCATATTCTTTTTCAAGATTCATAAAAGTAGTTATTTGTGAGCTTAAAAGGCATGCCCAGATTGAAATTCTATCAACCTCTCTGAATATACTACATACCATTAATATTTTATAAGTACATTTGGGTATAATAGAGCAGACAAATATGTTGGCATTCCTTTGAAAATACTGATTAAAATTTAAATTTATTCCTCAGTTCCATCTCTCTTATGCAGAGAAAGAATTGCTGGAGAGAGAGCCAAGGGGAGAAGCCCATCAGGAAGTTCTGAGGCGGGCAGCCAAAGACCTTCCCATCTATACCCGGACTATGTCCGGAGGTAAGCACTGATAATGAGCACATTGGAACTGCACCCAAGTGAGGTGTAATGACTCTTAGCATGCTCATATTCATAAACTGTCAAGCGCTTATTGGAAAGTGCTGTGCTATTTCTTGGGGTTGCTATTAAATCTTTCCTGTTCAGTTCCATAAAACAGAATGGAAACATGAGTCACGCTGTACCACCAACCGAGATCTCAGAACTGACTCTAATTCTGTTCCTCCTACTTTGTCGTGACTTGGTGATGACGTAAGGGCCGCTGAAGTCTGTATCTGTAGTAGACAAAAATTTGCCTTTAAAGTTTTAATTATAAACCTTCCTATTTATATCTAAGGGAGCAATATCTACAATGGATGTAAAGCTAATAATTTTGCAAGTTTTTTAAAAGATTAAAGCAGTAATTGTGTGAATTATGTAAAGATAATTTAGGTGTTGCTGTCTTTTTATTTTAGATTTTATTTATTCTTTTTTCATATAATATATCCTGACCGTAGCTTCCCCTCCTCCGCTGTTCCCAGTCCCCTCCTCCCCTCTCCTCTACTTCCACTCCTCCACCCACTTCTCCCCCAGAAAAGAGCAGGTCTCCCAGGGACATCAACAGAACACTGCACAACAAGATACAATAAGACTAGAGACAAACCCTTTATATGCAGGCTGGGTGAGGCAGCCCAGTAGGAGGAAAATGTTACCAAGAGCATGCAAAAGAGTCAAAGACATCCCCACTCCCACTGTCAGGAGTCCCCCACAAACCAACAGCCATAATATTTATAATATTATCATAGGCTCATGTAAGCTCCGGGATTGCTGTTTCATTCTTTGTGATGTTCCATGAGCCCTGCTTAGTTGATTCCACAGCTATGCTTGCTCAGTGTCCTCAATCCCTTTGGCTCACAGAATTCACCCTTTCCCTTCTCGAGGGGTTCATCAAGCTCTGAGGGGAGGGACTGGGCTCTCTCTACGCCTAATGTGGGTCTCTATCTGCTCCCATCAGTTGCTAGAGGAAGACTCTCTGATGATGAGTGGAGTAGGCACTGGTCTATGAGTATAACAGAAATCATTAGGAATAAAATCTTTGGGTTTTTTTTTTTTTTGCCAGTCATGTTTGGTTCATATATAAATAAATTAATTGAAAGCCTACTTAGCTTACATTTTGAGGTAATTTAACATCTAATTAAGTCATTGTCTTAAAAAACCAACACATAAGTCAGGAGGTAGTGGCATACCTCTTTAATCTCAGCTCTCGGGAGGCAGGGGCAGGCAGATCTCTGACTTCAAAGGTATCCTGGTCTACAAAGTGAGTTCCAGAACATCCAGAGCTGTTACACATGAATTATAGATAATTACTGCCAAGACTTAACCCAGGCATGTTTTATGGCTTTAAACCTCTGCTTGCCCACTATGGGCCATTAGCCCATTTGTCTTTTAAGTACTTAAAATATGGCTAGATCAAGGTGAAAATTCATAAATATAAGACACACAAATGCTTTCAAAGTTTTAGTATGCAAGGAATGTAAAATGCCTCATTAATATTCCTGTATAGTTTGCATTTGCTTTAAGTTCACATTAGAACCACATTGAATCTATGTTAACACTGTTTTCACTGTTTGCTGAAATGTAGTTCATCCTGTGAGTTTTATGTAGAGAAATAGTATCTCAAAATCAGTCATCCAGATAGACTGTGCTCTCTGTACTACTGAAGAAAAGATGCTATCGTTACATGCAAGAACTAAAATCCTCTATTGGAAATGCTGCTTCCAGTACTTACTTCTAATCTCATATCAGAATCAACATAGATGTGAGGTCTTTTCTAATTTATGGAGTCAATAGAGTGTGTTTACACATTCTAGGCTGTGTCTTTATGATGGTTTCCCACTCAGTTGTGTGCAGGAATGAATTGGTTTAGTAGAGGGACACTTTCTGTTGACCAATGAAAATGAATGCACTTTCCCCTTGTGAGCCTTACTGTAGCCACTGATGACCGAGCGATTTTTTCCAAGAGGTCTTCTCTTGGAAAATCTCTCCAAAGAAACCTGTCTCTAGGCAAGTGTTTTCATTCTCTGTTTTTAAACTGGGTTGAATATCTTTTTCTTTAAAATCAAATTTAAATTCAGTATACTTTTTAGAGTTTAAATCTGGAGTGATAATAAAAAGGCATTTAATTGAATTTTCAGTGACTTTTTAAGCTTAAGACTAAGTGAACTCTTTGTTCCTAGCAATCCGATATTGTGACAGATGCCAACTTATAAAACCAGACCGATGCCATCACTGTTCCGTCTGTGATAAGTAAGGAACCTTTGCTTCTCAAATGTCTGCATGCTCCTGTTTGTGTTGCTCAGTATTGGGTTACTGCTTTCCAGATTAGGTCACTATTTGGGTACACGAGTGGAATTAGTCCTTGCATTAACAGCAGTGTATCTTATGGCCACAATTAATGCCATTCCCCCAGGTTCATGGTGACATAACAGGCACATTTTTAGCAATTCTCATGTGGCAAGTTTAACTTAGAAAATGTTGCTTCCATGAGTGTTTTCTGTCTTTATAGAGACATAGTGATTGACTTCACATACTTAGATATTGCTGCATATTTAATTTATGACAGAAACAAAAAGACTTGTCCTAAAGGTTGGAAGTATGGAGCACATTTTACCTAGAGTTTGTGTGAATCTACTTATTTTCCACATTTTAATGTGAAGTAGTCTCGAACCAATAACAGTCTTTTAAAAAGAAATTGTATCTTAAGATATGTACGTTTTGAAGTTTTATTATTCTGTTATAACTAGAATCAGCTATCTGTGTTAGATAAGAATGTCTAGACTTACTGGACTTTATTTTTAAATGAGTAATTTTGTAATATTTTACATGTCACAACTGTTGGAAACATTTTCTATTTTCTTTTTATAATAGACAACATAAGGTATTATGTTTTATTTTTTGGATAATTTTAGATGTATTTTGAAGATGGATCATCATTGCCCATGGTGAGTATAAACCTATACTTGAAGCAAATTTGAATCAGCTATTAATTTAATATAAATTGAATCATTTTTTACAAACCTTTTCATTAATCAGTTACTTTACTTGTCCTAGAGGCACTTCCAGGTTTAGTTCCTAGTATTTAATTAACTTCAAAGAGCCTTCATTTGGGAGAATTTCCATTAGATAATTTAAAACTAGTGCATTATAATGAGAGCTAATTTTACATGTTTTCTCTGCATGAAGGGTATTCTTTTTATGCACATATATAAACACAGATGCACTTAAATACTTTCCAGAAACGTAAATATTTACACATTAATTATATGGGTTACATTAATTAATAATACCTCAATAGAAGTTTATAATAAACTTTTAACAATTTGTTTTAAATGAAACTACATTGAGGGGTAGAGTAGTAAACATACAAATACACAGACAGGTGTAAACAAAATTTTCTACTTAGAACTCATTCGTACTTACTATTTCTAAGACACTAGTTTATGTGACTTTATACAGGGCTACCTGAGAGATCCACTCATGAAGATCGATTTTCCTACTCTTGTTATCATTTTTCATTCTGTATACATGTTAATCATGTTAAGGTTACTATTGTTGAATTCAAGCATTAATGTAATTATTGGACAAGCTTAACTTCTTCCAGGAATGACACCCAGAAGAGAAATGAATGTTCACAAGCGCAGGCACTAGGCAGTTCACTAGGCAGTTTGCAGTGTGCATTGGAAATGATTTTCCTAGGAGCCTGGAAGTTTAGGGGAAGACTAAAGGTTATGCATTCTACATCTCTCACCATTGTACCTCTCCCTTTCCTTCAGAGCCTGAGAGTGTTGAGGGTGGTCAACTCCTATCAGGATGGTGTCTTCTTTAAAAAAAAAAAAAGTTTGAATCACTCCTCTTTGTATTAACTTACACTTATATTTGCTCTTTTGTTCCGTATTCTCTTCCCACCAAATCAATACCCTCAATTAGAAGTTTTCCCATTTTTCATCCCCCTTTTCCCTATCTCCCAGTGTCTCCATGTGCGGAGTAAGTTTTCTGGTAGTGAGCAGCTCCTCTGTTTGACGACACTCCTCAGTCTCAGGAACCCATGTGTTTTCTTACTTCCCCATCAGAGCTGTCTTTGACCTTAATAAGTTTGTTCAACTCACAACACTGTCAGTCCAGAAAAGCCAAGACATCACCACCTCTAGGACTATCCTTCCAACCAGTGAGAGTCTGATTAATAACTCAGCTCCACTGTTGGTTTTCCCCCTTTTTTTTTTTTTTTTTTTTTTTTTTTTTTTTTTTTTTTTGGTGCTGGGGATCAAATCCCAGACCTTGAGCATGCTGGGGAAGCACTCTGCCCTAAGCTTCATCTCCAGTTCTCCTTGCCTTCTTTATCTGAAGACAAGCACACAAACCTACCTACCTGTACCAAAGCTATGCCTCAGAGTCTGCCTTGAGGAGAACCTAGACCGAGCAATCTTCTGTCTGGACATTTAGATTTCTGTGCAACCTGAACATGATTAACAGTAATAAAATAATCAGGGCAGAGAGTTGATGCCAATTTTTTCCCTTTTAATGAAAGATTGTGGTAGTAAAGAATAGAGACATAGGGACAATCACATTTGTTCCAGGGCAGTGCATACCACAGCTCTTGCCATCCATTGTTACATGCATAAACTCACAAAAATAGAAAACAATGGCATGATTAGAGCAGTCTTCCTAAGCCAACAATTCATATGGCAGAATAAGAAACTTAAGAATGATTTACCAATCTTCCAAACTTCCGCAGGTAACCTACTAAACAGATTAAAGCAGATAGCCAGAAGACTGCAGCATTTAAGCAATATGCTCCCGCAGCATGGCTTCTTTGATCTCAGAAGTTTATTGAACTGTTTCCTGCACTGACATTTCCCAGGGTGCTATCTCTGTTCCCATGGCCATCTTCCCTGCAACCCCGTGCCGAGATCAGCAGCCTTGTCAGTATGTGAATGTCCGTCCCCTGCCTTATATTCAGCAGGTGTCAATTCCATGGAGTATGCACTTTTTAAAAAACTTTAGATTGAATAAGATGAGTAAATAACTTAACAGTTAGAGTGCTGGTCTAGCATGCCTGGGGCCCTAGGTTTAATCTTTATCACCACAAAAAAATTAAGAATTTAATGTAAAAATATAGAGAACTAGGGGTGTATCCCAGTGGTAGAGTAAATGCTTAATATGTGATGAAATCTGGGTTCACTCATACTACATCTCCCCAAAATACAGATAAAGCATAGTGTGGTTCTAGAGTTCTCACATCTCCTTTTACTCCTTCTCTAATCACAGAGACCCTCCTTTAGTATTGTCATGGCTACTGCTTAGGTCTGTATGTATCCATGTGTGCATTTGCATGTTTAAAAAAACCAAAACTATAAATGGCTACAGAATCGATAGATTGGATGTGTTTCACTTTTTCATTCACTATATTATGGGACTGTTTTCATGTTAGTTACAGTTGCTATGTGAATATAACTTGTTAGAGGACATTTAGGATATTACCAGATTATTTAGCAGCCTTTTTGTACAGGCTTTGTATATCGTTTTGAACTTCAGAGCACATATCGACTCTGAGCACTTGAAACATTAGATGAGCAGTGCCTGTCTGTTTTGTATTTAGTGATTTGCAGGTCTGGTCTGCATTTAAAATTACCTAGTAGGATTTAGGTATTTGTCATTTTAAGTAAATGAGAGCTTCTGTAGTGTTTATTTTATTGGGTTTTTCTATTGAAGGAATGGTTTTATTTTTAGCATAAAATTTTAACTAATTATATTTACAATACTTTGGTATGCTTATCCAATAACCTCCTCAAATAAAACAAATAATTTTAGCTTCAGTGTATTGAATGCTCAATGTGTTTTAAAGACCATACATAAAAAAATACGCTATCTTTATATACTGATGAGAGAAAGGAGTAGAAATCATTTGTCCTAGGGACTCTGCAAGGTTGAAGAGTGGACTCAAAGTCACACAGTTAGTGTTGTTTGGGGACCTGAAAAATCTACTTTCTTTCCAGTATTCTCTTTCTAGTTTATATTTAGAAAGCAGTTTCTGTGAAACAATTATGCTTTCCACCAAACTAAATTGGTATAACCAAAAATACGTTGTTTCTTCAATAAATCCATTGCTGTCCTTTCTGGAGAATCCTTGACCAAGTGCCAAACTGAACCTCTACCAGGCAGTTACAATGACTAATTAAGAGCTGTCATGAAAAGCATGCATTGTTGTGGTTCAAGATAAATACTCTTCCTCTATTTCATCTTGAAATATACCTTCCAGAATTTTCTATGTACATATATCAAGTGGGGAAACACTTGGTTTTGATTCCACATTCTGTATTTTTGGTTCTTGCATGACAAGGTACACCAGTGATCAAAAGCATGGGTTTCAGTAAGCTAAATCAGGAGTTTACAAAAAAACTGATCGAAATCTTTTTCTTTCTATAAAGACATTCTTCATCACTTAATAAAAGCCTTCTTTTTGCATTCCTGCAGAAAGAGGAGCAACGGGTGCTAGTCACTGTAACTCAGGTCACAAGTGCCCTTGTTTATACCCACCCTGCCCAGTGTTCCCCAGCCTTCCACCTCTATTTATCCACTGTACCTCTTGAAAACAACACAAGTAAGCAAAGACAAGGTTCTACGTTCTTTGGAGAAAGCTCACATTAGAGGAAGCCTATGCAGGACTGTTTCCAATATTCTTTCTTGCCATTATTCCATTCCGGTGCCATGAAAAACAATCTCAGAGATCTGTTTGCATTCTCACGGGGCCCTCTGAAGCTGCAGACATGACTGTTAACAAGTAATATGCAGTTTAGCTTATTTATGAATTTCTTCTCCTTGGACAAGACCTTTAAGTTCAAAATTACTAAATTTCCCCATTGGGCCCTTTACCTTGTACTTTTTGAGGTACAAAATATAGACATAGTTTATGAGAGTATAGGTTTGTTTTTTTTTTTTAAGCAAGAAAGGATAAAATGTTTTGTTTCTTACCAAGGTCAGTAGGTGTGGAGGGTTGGACTAGGGAAAGAAGACAAGGAGGGAGAGAGAGCAAGAACTGGAAGGAGAGGAAGCTGTAGGTTGACACTCTATGAGGCAGGGTTGTCATCCAGCTAACCACCTCTGTCATCTGTATATGCCAGTTCAGATGGGGGCTGTCAACATTTCAGGAGACCATGGAGTCATACCCTTATTTGATGGAAAATGGGAAAACTTAGAAAATGGCGACAAAATAAATTGTACTCAGTGTTCTGTTGTCAATATACTTAGTTGTGAGTCCACTCTCCCCCACCCGTCATATAATGAGTTCAGAATAGGAACTTAGGATTTACAAATTTTCATATTTGGAATCCTAGAATGTAGAGCTGGATTTCAGATATTGCTGAGCACTGATTTTCCAGTAAAGAAGATGAAATTCTAATAGGCTACGTCACACCCGCAGAGTCTATAATTATCTAATATCAAGTGGGTATTACCCTCTGTCTATATGGTTCCCACTCCTCCTTTTCTTAATTTCTCCATTTAATACACTTTGATAATTTAGGGACTTCATCCAATTTGATAAAACCTAAAAGAATAACTTACTTAATCACAATTGGAAATAGAATCAAGTGAGAACTTAGTGAATTCTCCAAATCCGCTTGAGTTTGTTGGGTCTGTCACAAGCTCTGTGCCTTTAGGTGTGTGTTTATTTATGTAATCATTGTATATGAGGTGTAGTGACATTGATTGAGTAAAGCAATATTAAATATATATTAAAGATCTGAGCACAAAAATTCCTTCTAAATGTGTTAGGAGATGTTATATTCATTATGAATGAAATGCTAATGAATTTTAAATGAACATAAACCAAAACCTATGCTATGTTTAAACGTATTTATCCCTAAACTGAAGCAGTAACTCATTAAGACTTTTGTTTTATTGGCAGGGTGAACAATTGTGTTGGATTTTCAAATTATAAATTCTTCCTCCTTTTCTTGGCGTATTCTCTACTGTACTGCCTTTTTATTGCTGCTACAGATTTACAGTATTTTATCAGATTTTGGACAGTAAGTCATCCTTTTAGTGACTTTTCTATATATAAACGTTCAGCAGTGAGTTATTTGAGACCCTGACTTTGTAGGGTTGGTCTGTGAAGTGTCAGTCCTCATTATTCGCAGTCTGAATTTGTGCATTCACCTTCTCAAAATGTACGCAGCTTTTTCAGTAGTGTCTAGACACACACAGATTGGTGCAGTACACAGGCCTATTCCTAGTTGAGGTAAACAAGGCGTTGCTATGCCCTCTCCATTTTAGGGCTCTGTAAACAAGTTATGTTCTCCCATGGTCTGTTTGCCTCTGTGTTTTGTTGTTGATTTTTTTTGTTTGTTTTGTTTTACTTTTTGTTGATTTTGTAGTATAAAATGATCTTTAAACATATTGATGAAGTGCTATCTGCTGTTTCTTAATGAGACTGATGTGTCTTATGAAAAAAATACATGCTTCATCCAGGCATTAATTCTAGAACAAAATCTGTTGTTCAGAATTTCCATATTAATAAATCAATACAATATATCAACTAAAGGGCATTCTGGCAAACCCTCACATCCAATGAGATTGTGAATTGGTCAATAGATGCCTAAGGCATTATGAAAAGTGAAAACCAACCCCGTGCTTCCTCTAGATGCAGTATTCATGGACCCATTGTTCATGGATTCATTGTTCAAGGCAATCTTGTGAAGCATAACTACATCGAATAATGAGAATTGACTAGACAAGCAGATTTTTTTCTCAGTATTCAAAATTTGAAGTGTTTTCTCTTCATGTGCTGATTGTCTTTAAAACTGTTATGTCTGCAATATCCTGAATTTTAATTATATATTCAATTAGTAAGCTCTAGGTAGTTTTTTTTTTTTTTTGTACTATATTTTCTAGAGCAAGGCAATACAAAAGCATGGGATATGCAACCTCTCCAGAATCATTCCTAGTGAACATGAAATGATGATGGTTTTTGTTTTGTTTTTGTTTTTAAGAAAAAAAAAAAGCATTTTACTCCTTTCCAGGATTGCTTTCTCACTGAATTTTCATTAAATTACCTTTCATTATGGCAAGATTTTCTGAATTTCTAGGTAACTTATATGAGACTTAAACCAAATTTAATACTAAAGATTGACTTGCTATATGCTAGTCTCATTGCTAAGAAACAGAAAGACCCAGGTGGCTTCCTATCATTCAAAGGTACTTCCGTTTCTGGTTAATGACTGATCCCCACTGAATGTTTTCCAGACTGTAAACTCAGTGTCCTCCATTCCTGTGGGTGGTTTTCATTCCAAACCTCAAATACATCTGAACAGGAAAGACCAAAGTTCCTGTTGTTCAGACTTTTCTGTTGGAAAGCTGCCAGTTAAGGCCTTGTCATGGATATCAATGTCGAGCTCTGCAGGGGCTGAAGCACTGTGATCCTGTCAGAATGGGGTTGGGGGGGCACCCTAGTGCTTCACTGAATGCCAGGTCCCTAGGTCTTCATTCTCAAGTCAGCCCATCTCTCTTGGATGTGCAAACAGTGAGGGGCAAACAGGTTTTACAGTGCTGGCTGCTTTCAACCCCTGGGTCTTAAACATTTATTTTAGAGAGGTTTTATTGATGTTGATCATTTCTGTGATGCTACTACTAGGTTGAAGCATTGTTGTAGGGGAGGGAGTGTCTCCTGTATTCTTTTAGTTGATGCTGTTGTTTAAAGTAACCTAAAGTATCAATGAGAATAGGAACTAAACTATGCCAACCAGCCTTCATTTTTTTCTGGCATTATAATTAAAATCATTTAAACATTTGTGAATATGAGGCATGCTAATAACATGTTCAGGAAGTAAATTTAAAACTTTATTTTATAGTATACTTGTTTCCTACAGGTATAGTTTATGTTTCCATGTTTGTTGTTTTTCTTTTTCTAGGATTTGATTTGGTTGTACAAAGCAAAATAAATATTCCAACTTTAATCTTTTCTGAATATATATCCACATACCAGTAAGCATTTAATTTAATATGAAATAGATACTTACTTTTCCCCTTAAATTTTTGCATGAAAGTATGTGTCATTTTCTATTTCTAAATTAGTTACAGGAAACAATCATACTAGATGATTCGTAAATGTAGGGGAATACTCATTCATCCCTTTGACAAATGTTCTGTTTTCTGCCTTTCCTTGTAGAATGGTCTGCCTGATACTCAAGCCAAGTTCCATATTATGTTTTTATTCTTTGCTGCAGCTATGTTTTCTGTCAGCTTGTCTTCTCTGTTTGGTTATCATTGTTGGCTAGTCAGCAAAAATAAATCTACATTAGGTGAGTATTCAAGTATCATAGTGAACAGAACTTTAAATACACATATAGTCCATCCACTAAAAATTGCTGTATGAGTAAATATCAACCTGTCTTGAAATAGAAAAAAAAAAAACTTTCTTATTCCCCATGTGCTTTTGTAATGTCATATAAACACCTGTCCACTCTTTGCATATATTAATTGACTGTACATGGTGTGCAAAGCAGTATTCATGCTGAATGGAGAGCAAAGGAAAGTGGGGGCACAAAGGCAAAAAGCAAACATAAAAGTAAGTATAAAGTCAGAATTCTTTGAAGGACACAAAGGAAGGATGGAGATAGTGGAAGGGAAGCCATTTTGAAAGAGTTGTTGGGGACAGTCTCACCGCACTAAGAAATACTCAATCTGAAAAGTTAGCCAAGGAAAGATACAGAACATTGTAAACACAGTTAAAAAGCTCTACAGACAGTAAGTGATGGATAGTGTTCATCGTTAAACAAAACCTAGAATTTCCTGTGTGGAGACAATGACAATTATCTCAGTTATCTTAACTGAGGTAAGGAGACCCACCTATTGTGGGTGACAGCATTCCCTGGCTGGGATCCTAAGACTGTATAAAGAGAGAAAGGAACTGAAAAGTGGCATGCATTCATTGTTCTTTCCTGCCAGTGTGACTTCCTACCATGATGGTCTGTAGCCTGGAACTATGGGCCAAAACAAAAAACAAAAACAAAAAGACCCTTTTCCCTTAAGTTGCTTTCATCAAAATATTTTATCACAGCACCAGGAAAAGAAACTTAGACATAAGGATGTAGCAGGGCTTAGAGGGAAAGATGCAACTACAAATGTCCATATTGAAAAGGAAGAAGTATTTTAGCCAGTAACTGTGTAGTGTGTGTGATGAGTCAAAAAAAGGAGACGAGAGAAAACGCAAAGCAAGCAGAGGGAAGGGCATAATGAATATGGGAGATAATAGAAAATAAATAAAACCAATAACTTATTTTTAAAATAACAAAATCGATAAGGCTTAGCTGGGGAGAAAAAGTAAGGGTTATTACCAAAATTAGGGGTGAAAGTAGCATTTTAACTGACTCCACAGAGAGAAGGGTTTTGTGACAGATTGTGTGAAATGCAATCCTTCCCACCCATTGGAACCATGGGTGGCCTAGGTGTGATGGAAAATGACCAGAAACAAAGCACCATCCTGACTGAGAAATAGCAAGGCTACATAGGGAAGCCCTTGCCTAATAAAGAAGGGTATTTTTTGGGGGGGGTTCTTAAAACTGAACATTCAGGAGCAACAAAAGCTAAAGCACTTATAAATTCACATTTCTGTTAGCATCTGACCCTGCCAGTTAGATCTTGTCTTCAAAATAATGGACAAAGTCTTTATACTTCTAAATATGTTACTACCCTAAAGTGAAGATTTTAGAATTTGCTTTGCAGGGTTACACAAGAGGAAAACATGGCATTGTGAAAGGACACTGATGGCCTTGCAGCTCCTCCACAACTGTATTCATTGGTTATGTGACTGTGGACGATTCTGATGTCTTTTAAGACCACAGCTTTGATACACAGAATGGGCATAACTGGATATGACTATTTGGGGATTAGATTTTTTTTGTTTGGACAAGCTGGTTATAAAGTACATTTTAGGGTCAGGTAGAGAAATTCTGATGAGATAAAAATTTCAATGACATTAAAAATGGAGTTCATTGACTTAAAGAGGTTATTGGGATAGGTAAAATAGACTCACATTTTGTTTTAAAACATGTATGTCTAAATGCTTCAATATTATTCAGTCTGGTACCCATTTTTTTTTGCCAGAAGATCTAGAAGGTGGACTGGTAGGGTATCTTAGTGATTAGAACAGAACAAAATAAGCCGAGGGGTGGTGGCACACACCTTTAACCCCAGCACTTGGGAGGCAGAGGCAGGAGAATCTCTGTGAGTTCGAGGTCAGCCTGGTCTACAGAATAAGTTCCAGGATAGGCTCCAAAAGCTACACAGAGAAACCTTGTCTTGGAAAAAAAAAAGTAAAACAAAAAAATACTTGCCACTAAACCTGACCATGTGAGCTCAATGCCCACATCCCACATAAAGATGAAGGAGCACCCTTCTCCACAATGTTGTCCTCTGACCCCGAATGCACACAATGGCACACATGCTCCCACCCCCCCATCCGCCTCCCCCCCTCCAGCCCCCCTCCGCACACACACATGACAGTAAAACAAAGATCTGGAAGGTGTCCATTTTAATTTATTAGTCTATTTGTATTTTCTAACTTTCTCTAGTGCACATGTACTCTTGTAATAGTGAAGAATTAAAATAGACCTACTCAGATTAGACAACCTGTATTTCAGAGCTATGGATAGGTCCATGTGTGAGTACTCACAGGAGGCTATCCTCACTTCACTCGTTTCAGTATGAGCAGTAGCAGTAGTAGTAGTAGCAGTAGAATACGTTCTGTACTCATGGTATTGCTTCTCTGTTTCTTTTAGAGGCATTCAGAAATCCAGTATTTAGACATGGAACAGATAAGAATGGATTCAGCCTGGGTTTCAGTAAAAACATGCGGCAAGTTTTTGGTGATGAGAAGAAGTACTGGCTGCTACCAATATTTTCAAGGTACTTTGTTCTGAAAGCTTTTTATCTGAACTAATGAAAGTAAGCAAACAAATGACACTCTGAGTTAAACTTGTTGTTTTCCTGCACAGAACTTCCTAGAGTATTATTAAACAATTCACTGTTGAGTGTGGAAAGCCATTAACTCACTAACCCATGTCTTCTGCCTGTTTTCTTCTGTTTTTTAAATTACAGTCAAGGTGATGGCTGTTCCTTTCCAACTTGCCTTGTTAATCAGGATCCTGAACAACCGTCCACTCCCGCAGGACTAAATTCAACAGCTAAAAAGTAATGCTACATTTTTTTCTCTTTTATTTTCAAGTGTTTTATTTTATCCTGTTGTATTCTTTGGTTATGTGTTCCTTGGAGGAGATGATGTCAATGATGTAGGAAAATTTACTACAATGGTTTCCAGGGGCAGTGATGGAGAGAGAGGGTGGCATAGTAGAGAGGATACATAGTTTCAGTTCCGTGCATACCATTGTGTTCATAATGGTGGGAGTTAAGAAAACAGGTATGCTGGAGAGATGGCTCAGCAATTAAGAGCACTGGCTATTCTTCTAGAGATCCTGCCAATTCTCAGCACCCACATGGAGGCTCCCAGCCATCTATAACTGCCATTCCATGGGATCTGATGCCCTCTGTTGGTGTGCAGATCTACATGCAGACATTACACCCATCTACATAAAATACATAAATAAATACATTTCTTTTAAAAAGGAAGCAGACATTAATTCTCTAAACATTTTAGTTGAGTAAAAAATATTGTCATTTTCAGTTGTGAACCTAGTCTTCAATGGCTGAACCATCTCTCCAGCTCAAAATATATTATGATCTCTGAAAGGTAGTATTTAAAAAAAATAATGTAGTTCTCCTCTGCTCCAATGAAACAGGAAGGTAGGATTCCTGTATTACCTTTCCTCAGTGGTAATAATTATAAAGTTAAAGAAAATTCCCTAAATTGGGCCTTTGGAGATCAAAAGGACCTCCAGGCATCCACTTGATATAGAAGGATACTGCTGTGTATGATATATCCTTCTGTGTCTGAAAGGCTTCTAAGTTCTGCCCCAGTCAGTGTGAGTGTGTGCATCTGGATCTCTCTGTCTGTCTGTCTGTCTGTCTGTCTGTCTGTCTGTCTGTCTGTCTGTCTGTCTGTCTCTGTGTGTGTGTTTTTGTGTTTTTCCAAAAGAAAGGGAAAGGGGTTTGAAAATTCACTGTGTGCAGATTTTTGCTCCAACTTTAAGTTTGTTTCGATTCTAGTCCAAGGATTTTGGAATAGCAACATAATGATTAAAGGTTGTTTCTGGCTTTTTACTAAGGGCAAAGTGCTATGTGAGAATTTTGTTTTTTAAAAAGAAACATGACCATATGCTCCTCCCTTTTAGAAGGATACATATGCCTTACTGTGAAATTTTTAAGAGATTTATTTATTTCATCTGTGTGCATAGTGTTTTGCCAGCATGTATGTATGCACACCACATGCTTGCCTGGTACCACTGAGTCCCAGAAGGAAGTCAGATGCCTTGGAATTGGAGTTACAGCCAGTTGTGAGCCACTTTGTGTGTGCTGGAAACTGAACACAGGTGCATTGCAAAAGCAGAAAGTGCACTTTACTACTGAGCCATGTCTTCATCTCCCTATACAAGAATTTCCAGTGGTTTGAAGTATTAATTTTTATATATTTATATGAGTAGAATACTCTAATTTTTAAATGAAAGTCAGTAATAAAAGTATAAGCATGACATAATTTATAAAATTTTAGAGTTTTTCTTCCTTGCTATAATTCAGATGTAAATGCCCATTTATTGTGTGAATATTTCTTATTAATTACAGTGTTTTTTCTATGAATTCTGGAGTATTCCCAGAATTGTTTTCAAGGCTGTGATCCTGGCAAACATTCCAAAATCACATTAAGGTTTTAAAAGACTTAAAACACATTTGTCACTCCATCTTTAGTGTGAGCTGTGTGCAGGCCAAATTTCACCCATTAGTGAAAAGGTTGTTTTGATACATTTCATGGAGACATTCAAAGGCATCAAGCCATTCCCTGAGTCAGACTTTAAGCATTTTGGCTTGAAAATTATATACAGTTATACATTAATGGATTTTCCTATACATCAATGAAAATAGCTGAGTTCTAATAAATTATTTAGGATACACTTTTTTAAATTTTGCAAAATTTAATGGTAGATTACACTAATATTATTGACCCCCTGTTGAGTGGTTTTTGTGCTTTAAGAATCAGCAGGTTTTAGAAGCATCATTTTTCTCTATCTTCTAGGATAGAGAAAATGCTATCAAAGGCCAGAGATACAGTTCAGCAGCAGAACTACTGTGTATGTGCAAAGACCTAGGTTTGATTCCTTAACACTGCAGAAACAATGTATGTATTAAAATTCTTCCAATGTACACATAAATGCTTTCTTACCACTTGCAGTTACATGGTAGGATGTCACACGCACACGCACATGCACACTCACACACTACCTTGCTTACCACCTTCATGGCTGCTCTCCTTAGCTAGCCATGTAAATGATTTCAACAGGTTTCTCACTAGTCTTCCAAGACCATCTTTCTCCCTTTGGATTGTGTCTTGTTTCTGATTCTCCAGTGGTCTTACACACACACACTCTCTCTCTCTCTCTCTCTCTCTCTCTCTCTCTCATACACACACATATCAAAACTAACCTGTGTGCTTGCCTGCCCTACTATACATTTCAGATCTGCCCTTGAAACCTCTTTGATGTCATTCCTCATCACTTTCTCATCATTACCAAGCCACAGACTCAAATATTTGGTGCCTTTGGTCTACCAGATCCCCTCTGTTCAGGAGCAAATACTGCCTTTGAGAACCACTGTTTGGGAGTGTGGTAAGGGAGTCGGATAGGGTCTCAAGTTACTATGTAACTGATGATGACTTTAAACTCCTGATCGTCTTGCCTTCAATTCCCCATTGCTAGAATTATAGGGTCTGCTAGCCCTCCCTGTATAAGAGAAGCCATGTTCAGTAACATTTGGACAACATAATTTCATTGCAAAGGGAAGCGCAGATAGTCATTGAGTTTATTATCTCCTGATTATGTGTATATTATTCTTCCTTCTTTAATGATAATGTCTCCATGAGTATGAAGTCTTCATTCTTTGATATAAGAGATATATAATTAGCTTAGTTAGGGTTTCTATTGATGTCACAAAACACCATGACCAAAGAGCAAGTTGGGTGAGGAAAAGGTTTATTAGGCTTACACTTCAGTATTGCTGTTTATCACTGTAGGAAGCCGGTATAGTAACTCAAACAGGACAGGATCCTGGAGACAGGAGCTAATGCAGAAGCCACTGAGGGGTGCTGCTTACTGACTTGCTTCCCTGGCTTGCTCAGTTCCCCTTCTTATAGAACCCAGGACCAGTAGCCCAGAGATGGCACCACCCACCATGGGCTGGGCCCTCCCCCATTGATCACTAATTGAGAAAATGCCTTTCAGCTGGATCTCACAGAGGAATTTCCTCAGCTGAGGCTCCTTCCTCTGATGACTCTAACTTGTGTCAAGTTGACACACAAAACCAGCCAGTACAATGATAAATACTGTTACATGACTAGATCTTTGTCACTTGTTATAATCACATTAGCAGTGATGAAATCTCAACCAGCAGTTAACTAATATGCTATGCCCACCCTATCATCCCTTCCCAATGAATAAGAATTAAAGTAGTATAGTTTTATATATATATATATATATTGTAATATATATAGTTGTATGATATATATATATATATTGTAATATATATAGTTGTATGATATATATATATATATTGTAATATATATAGTTGTATGATATATATATATATATATATATATATATGTATAAAGTTATAATTACATAACCTGAAAGGCCATGCTTTTATTTGCTCCTTTCTAATAAACTTAATTTATTAAATTATCTATATTAAAGCCACAAAAGGGAAATTAAAGTACTCAGAAATTTTAGATGTGAGGGAGTTATCGTGCTCCAAAAGCTTATCCTTGTAGCCTTAAAATATAATCATAATCAGCTGTAACATGGGAAATTATTCTTGGAAGATGTTAGAAGCTTCTTTTGAAAAACATCAGTTCAATTATTTGAGGGTATCCTAAAAGAGCTTCTGTGCTAAGACATATCCCCAAATTAAGTAGTATTTTTGTGCCATCAAATATGTTAGTGTGTAGCAGGTCTAACTAATTTTTTAAACAAAATTCTTCTTTCAAGATTCTTTTACTTCCCATTTGGGAAGTATATCAGGTTTCTGAGACCTGGTAATACCAGATGTTTTAAAGATTCCCCCAAGATATGGCTCAATTTTGTTTTCAAGGTGACTTAGGTCACTTGCCAAACACAAAGTCAATATTTTTCTTTTACTTTTTTTCTTACCATGTTCTTTATTTTTCCTCCATCTACACATACCACTTAATAAAATCAATATATATTTCCTTAACTTGGTACTCAATGTCATGTGTATGTCTGTGTGGTGGCCTTGGATATGTATATGCATGCCCATGTGTGTGGATGCATAATGTGTACAGGTGCAAATATGTGTGTTTGGTGTGTTCACATTCCTGAGTGTGTATGCATACGTGTGTGCAAATGCATGTGGGGCTTGTGGTGACAGTGGAGTCTCTTTTGGTCTCCTGCCATGTTATTCATCAAGACAAGGATCTCAATTGATTCTGTAGCTCATCATTTTGGCTAGCCTAGCTGGCTCATTTGCTCTAGCGAAACCCTTTCTCAGTCTTCAAACACTGGCCTTCCAGGTGGACTGCCGTGTTCACCCAGCATTTTCATGGGTCTGGAGATCTGAACTCTGGTCCTCGTGTTTGTATGGCAAATGCTTTACCCACTGAGCCATGTCCATGGCCCTCAATCTTATTTTAAAAGCAAATTTCAGTACTCCGGAAGCAGAGGCAGGTGGATCTCTGAGTTTGAGGCCAGCCTGGTCTAGTCAGAGCTACACAGAGAAAGCCTGTCTTAAAAAGCCAAAGAAAAAAGAAAGCAAATTTCATGTCATTGTCTTAAATGAGAAACTAGTATTATCTGGCATAAATAAAACAACAATAAATGGTCACTAAATAACTGCTATTGCATACTAGCTAAATTCCCTTATATGCTAAAAAGTTCGACCCTGAAAACATTTTCTGTACTCAAAATGGAAATTTCCCAGAGTTGGGGACTATCGCCTTATCATAATCAGGAAGGCAAGAAGTCTAAACAGAATGATTCTCTCATGGTGAACCTGACTTAATGTCTCATCTTTGCAGTCCTCCAGTTATCTTGCATTCTTCCTGCAAACATCTTGCCTTGCAAGATGTCTGCATTTCATCTTTGAGAAACGTTAGACAGTGTTGTTAAGAGTTAACTTGTGATCACAATTATTTTCAGTCCTGAAAACCATCAGTTTCCTGCAAAGCCACTGAGAGAGTCCCAGAGCCACCTCCTTACGGATTCTCAGACCTGGACAGAGAGCAGCTCAAACCCGGGAAAAGGCAAAGCTGGTAATGATATGCTTCTTTTTCTTTTGATAGCCTCTGTTTTTTCGGAGCTGAGAACTGGTCTTGCTCTTGCTAGGCAAGCGCTCTAGCACTGAGCTAAATCCCCAATCCTCAATAACCTCTGTTTTTTGTTTGTTTGTTTGTTTGTTTGTTTGTTTGATGCAAACTGCATGAGGCTTTATTATAGTGTTCAACGAGCTAACCCCATGTTAGCTTGGGTCTTTCATCCATCCACCATGGTGGATGAATAGCCTCTTTTTTTAAAAGGTAGAAGAGGAGAAAAAATTCATTGCACAGAGTTTTATATTTTATTTTTGTCAGGCTCTCATCATACATATACTTAGGGTTATTTTCAAAGAATTCCTGCCCTCTCACCACTAAATCTTTATTGTGGCATGTTGTAAAGATGTAAGTAATTCATAGTATAAAGTATAGAAAATGAAATCGGGCAATTAACTCAGAAATTTGAAAATACCTCTAGGAAAGTATCTTAGATTCTGCAATTTTGTCTTTTACTTTAAAAATTCAATCTAGTTTCAGAATATCTAAAGTGATTACATAATTACTGTAACTTCAGCTACTCCCAGTTTCTTCACATCTCACTTACAGTTTTTCTTTTGCTGTTGATTTTATTTATTTATCTCTCCAGTCACTGTGGTTTATTAACAAAGAACAAGCAAGGGTTTTGAACTTGGTCCTGATTACAAATCTCACTTTCATGTGATTTTTAGGTCTCCTAACTGCATTTAGATTTTGTTTCTTTATATTCACAGCAGTGGTGTTTGTAAGGGTTCAATACGATAGTGTGGTTATATGCAGCAGTGTTTGTGTGTGTGTTTATGTGTTTGTGTGCGTGTGTTTTGGTACACAACAAATGAGTACAAGACCAAAAACCTCTGATTAGAGTACTGCTATTCAGAAGAGTTTCAGATCAATTTTAGTCATTCTTATTTAGACATTTACTTACTTTTACTTTATGCCCCTTTTGTTTTCAAAATTCACATTCATTTAACTTTAAAGTACTGATTGATTCATTTGGGATGGATTTGGTATTTAGTGACAGTTTAAATAAAATATATAGTCCTGAGTAAAAGTTCTAGTTATTATTTAATATCTAATCAGCCACATTTCTCCTAAAATGTAAGGTTTCTTTAGCAAATCTTAGTTTTTTTTTTCAAAATACATTTGCCTCATGATTTAAGTATTATAATTTACTCTCTTTCACTTCCAGACAGAGTATTTCACTTTCCAGGCTGTGGGAAGGGGGAGGCATTACCTAGACAATAATTGATGGTACTGATTTGGCTTCTGAACATCAGTTTCCATAGAAATAAAGAAGTGATGCAGGGGCAGTTGTCAGAGAGGCTCACAAGCCTTTCTTCCAGAAAGATCTGTATTTAATCTTACAGTACACATTAACATCATGCTGATTTCTTGCTTTTTAATACGCTATTCATTATTTGGCAGTTAAATTGATTTTTATGTTTTTTTTTTTTTTTGGTTGCTAAGTTGAGACGCTAAAGTTTAAACATGAGAAGGATGGGATGGCAAAAGGGCTTCAAGACTGCATGCATAGGAGGAGGGAGGGAAGAAGTTGGGAAATCAGGAGTATGGGCTGCCTGCGCCAGCACATCTTTCCATCCTTTGGTCCCCTGCTTCGTCCTTGTCCCCCACCTCACTGCCCCCCCTCAGTGTGTGTCTCTATACTGGAGTGACTTAACTAGTACCATGCACTGTGTGAATGTCTATATATTTCTGTAATCAAATATACAAGACTCTTTTGTTAGTATTCTGGAGGTCTGCTTATAGATGGAAATATTTGTACAATTTGTTCAAAACAGTCAAAAATCTTAATTTATGTTCTTTAAGGTATGAGCAACCCTGCATTAACTATGGAGAATGAAACTTAACTCCAGTGGAAAATGAAATCACTTTTATAAAGTAAGATGTTTCTCCTTGATTGTTACATTGTATATTTTTAACAACTTGCCAGTTTCAACAGTTACTAGTTTCCATGAGCAATGTTTGTTTTGAATGACTCAGAAGATGTCTTACTTGACTGTGGAATTCCGTAAATCATGGTGGACATGGACATGGACCTAGTTGCAGTATTAGCCAGTGTACAAGATAACTTGACAAGCTATAGAAATAACTTGACGGAATCATTACTATTAGAGTAATATGTTATGTGACAGGAATGGATCCCAAGACAAACATTACTTTACATTTTACAGGATCAGAGAATTAAATTTTCCTCTCATTTAGGATTATTGTCACCTTATCTTTGGTCATCTGTTAGCAGTCTCTTACTTGGTCTAAGTGTTAGATGACTAAGTCTTGTCAGCACAAACCTCTGCACCCCCATTTTTGGTCACTCTCAGTAGGACCTCATTATATTTTTAATAGCTGTTCCCAATCATCTTCTTTACATTATAATTAGCACATAAAATGAGTGCTTCCAAATAATTTTCCTTAAACCTATTGTGTTTATAAATCTGTAGTTAGCACAAAGGTACAACAAAGAGTGCCTCTGAAATAAACAAGCCAACTATATATGCCATATTAGAATAAATACAATGTATGCCACATGGAGTTTGTGTGCCAGTGACCCCAGCGCTTAGAAAGCAATAGCAGTAGTACTGCTGTAAGGGCAAGGCCAGCCTGGTCTGTGCCAGGAATTTAAGGCCAGCCAAGGCTACTCAGAAAGATCCTATCTGAAAAGCAAGTAAGCAGAAGACTTCAGTGTCGCATTCTCCATTAGGAGTCTGCAGTCATCGACACCACTACAAAAGAAGCTTTTTTGCCTGCCCATAACAGCCAGCAGCAGCATGGCTCGTGGTCAGGGTGTATTGTATGAAATTTCCAAGTAATCAATAAAAAAAATATTTTGTTGAGGGGGGGAAGTAAGTAAACAAAGAATAAACACAGTATAACCAAGTTGTAAATGGAGGTTTTTCTCCCACCCAGCAGTTTCTGAATAAACACTCAGGGGTTTAATATTGATTATAATTCTTTGGCCAATGGCTCAGGCATATTACCGACTAGCTCTCACAATTAAATTAACCCATTTAGCTTATGTTTTACCACGGTGCTTGTGGCTTGTTAGCTCACATCTTGCTTCTTTGGCGGTTACATGGCAACTCCCTAACTCTGCCTGCTTTCTCTCCGAATCTTTGGATTTCCCTCCTGGCTCTATCTTGCCTGGCCATTGGCCAAATCAGCTTTATTTATCAACCAATAAAAGCAACACATATTTACAGTATACAGAAGGACATCCCACATCACCAAGTTAAACATTAAATGTTATAAACACGACTTTCTGTTTTTATAACTGCAATCTAAAATCCCCAGTTCTAAGGGAAAAAAGGGATTGCTGTCTAAAATAAGATAATTTGTATCAGCATGAATATCGAACTTTTAAATTTGCTTTGTTTGGTTTTAATTTGCAAAATACAGCAGGGTACATAGGCGTGTTCATTTCATCTCAAAACTCAGGAGCAGAGGCAGGCAAGCCTTGTGAGTTCAAGGCCAGCTTGGGCTATACAGTGAGTTCTGAGGTATTTGGGACTGTGTAATGAGACAGGAGGAGGGAGGTAAAGTGTAAGAGGGAGGAAGGAGCAGGAGGTGGCATGAGGGAGAGGGGAGGGAGGGCGAAGGACAAATTAAATTAATACTTGCTAGTTGAGTAGTGTTTGACTTTGGGAGGTGATGGGTCACCTCTGAATACATGATGGTACAGTAGATCAGACTGACCAAAGCTATGGCTAGCAAGGTGAAAATGGAATATTCTGAATTTGGTTAAAAACCATGTAGATAATTTCTGGAAAAGATATTGAGAAAGGACCTATTTGTAAAATATTTTATAGAATTTTATAGAAGCTGAATAAGACATAAAATTCATAGGATTTGTTTTCAGTGTTTCAAACCATTGGTTATAACTACTGTTGTTTATGAGTTTTCTCTGTATCAGTAGTTCACTTGTTTATATGGCAATACTGAGTCTAACTCTCCTTGTCATTCTTATATGCTGATACTGACCAGTGTTGCATTTGTTAATAACCAACCCTGACACCTTTCACAGAGACAGCAATCATAGGCTCTCAATAAATATTTGAAAGAGAAGTTATTGGAAAATATTGAAATTAACAACCCACAGAAGCTTGATTTGAATTACATTTGAATATATGTAATTGGCAGTAATAACCAAAATTAGTTACATACACATAATAAAAAATACCAACTGATTTTCCTGTATGTTTCTCATTTAAGTAACATAACTATCACCTGTTATGTGATATTTATTTTGATTGCATTCTGACAATTAAGTTTGCTTTGAATCAGAGGGTGGACTAGCTGACCAAAATTAACCATAGAGCTTTTGAAGGACTGAGGATAGATAGACAGGCAGGGTACGGTGGAGCTAAGAGAGGGTCTCCACTGTTTTTGGACCAAGGAACATCAGAGATAGGAGGTCATCAGCCACTTCTCTCCTGCCTCTCTGATCATTCAGGTTCTTATCCCGATATCTAACTCCCAAGTTTTTGTTGATAAAGATAAGATAAATGCACCGATCAGCAGAAAAGTGTTTTTTAATTAAATTTCTCCTAACATAGTAACAGAGACTACTGTTTTTGAGCCAGGTCTCATCTGGCTGTCTCAGAACTTATTGTATAATAGGTCAGGATGGCCTGAAACTTACAGAGATCTGCCTGTCAGTATCTCCCCTGTAGTGAGATTAAAGGCATTTGGCTCCATGCCTGGTGATGCCACTCTTAAAAAAAATAATTTTTCTTGTACTGTGTCTCACATTTTTAAGTTACTTAATATGCACATTTATGGAACTCTGGGAGGCTGGAGAGATAGTACATGAGTTTAGACCACTGGTTGCTCTTCTGGAGGACCCAGGTTCAATCCCCAGCACCCACGTGACAGGTAACAAGTGTCAGTAACTCCAGGTCCAGGGGATCTGACACCCACACACAAACCCACATGCAGGCAAAGCACCAGTACACATCAATAAATTATTATAGTACCATGTCTAATGTCGCTGGATCTAATTCAGATTACCAAATGGTATCTTCTTATCTTTCTAAAACTACATTAGTAAATAAATGCTCTGTGGCTTTGGGTGATGCTGAAAATGGAACCCAGAGCCTTGTGCATTCTAAATAAGCTCCATACTATACCATACCCTACCATCCTGTACCATACCATACCACACCACACCATACCCTTCCATCCTGCACCATACCACACCACACCATGCCATATCATATCATATTTAAGTCCCAAGCCTAATCTGTGGCCTTTTTACAGCTTCTCAGTTTAGCATAATATACAAATAGTTATGTTTTTCCTGAAATGCATCATGATGCTAAAAAACATTAACTTTAGTGCACCCAACCTTCCCTATTATGCAAAAAAAAAACATATTATGCATACAAGTTTTCTTAAATTTCCTTTAACTCTTTAGCCATTCCTAATCTCCAGCTGATCTCAGAAGCATGAACAACTAACTAACATGAAGCAATGCCACTCAAATTGTGGTCCTTAAGGAACAAAATGAGCATCTTTTGGATAGATAGTCATGCAGACCCTTGATGGTTATCCTAGACCTACCGAATCAGTCTCCATTGACAGTGCACAAGAGCCTCTCTTGTGTGTTACACTAAATCTGGAGATCTGCATTCATGAGCACATCTACCAAGCCTTGAAGCATAGGATATAGTTTTGAACAGGGACTGTGTGATAAATAGTGAGCAAATTGCTTCGTTTTTATGTTTAACATAGTTTTCTGGTTTTTGTTTGCTTTTAAGGTACCAATGCCATGGACGAATGGAACAGACTTCCCACAGGAAGGCTCCATTGACCAATTGTCTCTTTATCCCTTTGGCTAAATATGCAAATTTTTCATCAGTGATTGGGATCAAACCCAGTGGTATGAAGAATTTTGAGATGTCATTACAAAACTGATGCTTACAGCTGAGCACAGTTCAGTCTAATATATAAACTGCCATAACCAACACAAATCCCTTTAAAAGCAATTCACAAGGAACAGAATAAATTCATGGGTCAGGTTTCATTCAGATATTGGGTTGCACAATTTATCATGTTATCCCATTAGTCTTTGATATTCTCTTTCAGGAAATTTAGATTAATTTTCAAATTTAAAAATTTTCAAGTCATGTAATAACACTAAGCTATATTCAGAAGGAAGTAAGAAATCTTTCGTCTTTGATTTTCCCTCTGATGTGAATCTGGCTTCAGATGAGGGAACTGCAGTAAGTATGAATTCACCATGAAAGTTAAGTAACCTACAGCCGAAGGTCACTGTCCATTTGCGGAAGGCTTCACTTCTTCTTCTAGACTTTGTCTCCCATGGGAAATGGGCATGAACACTGACACTTGAGTTCACTGTTCAAAGCAATTGGATTAAAAACTTTTGTCAGAGATAATTAATGTTTTGACAAAGAACTTATAGCAGAAATTTATTTTCGTGTCTTTTAATTGGCAGTCAGAGGGGATCTATGCTAATTATTGTAAGATTGTTCAGGAGCACTCTTTTCTTGGCTTGGATGTTATAAAATCTGTTTTTTACTGCTTGCACATGGTAACATTACTGAGTTCTAAGCATTTCTGATGGATTATTCCTCTACTTGCATCTGTATCATTGCTGTGTGCTGTCATCAGAACTATAATTGTCAATATATATTTTTCCTTAAATACCTATCAAGATTAAATTATGCAAATCACTTAAAAATATATACTTTTAGAAGATTAGTTTACCATAAACTAAACAGTGTGCTATTTGGAAATGTAGTTTAAGGTAAACTAAAATAATGTGTTGATGCCAACATGTTTGGCCTCAGTAACTAAAGTCAGAAGTTTTTGTGCCTTGTATGCACTATCTGCAGAGAGAAAAGTGTCTCGTTAAAAAAAAAAAAATCCCGGGAGTTTTATAATTAACCATTAGATTAGTAAACTGTGTGGTTTTTTTGGTACTAATTTTGAGGATTTCAAGTAGATTAGCTTTTTAAAACGGCTAAGTAAGTGACGTATATAAGCAAGAAGATAATAGAAACTGAACGATCCTTACTAAAACATCCTAGAGTTTTATGTTAAATGTGCTTAAGGCAGAATAGACGACACTGTGGTCCATTCTGTGGTTCACTTGGGTGCCATTGCGTGAAGGAGGATGCCAGTTGCATTCACATAGTTCAAGCTAGGTAGGGAGTTTAATCTGACAATCCACTTTGAAAGTCTCAGAGGATAAGAAACGCTTTCCCTGTTGTCTTCAAGCATGTTTTGGTCATTTGTCATTACCTGAAGTGCCAGACTGGAGCCCATAGCTTGTGCTAGAAGTCCCTTGGGCAGCAGCATGTGGTATATTAGAAGATCTATGCAGTAGGTTTTTCTGATAGCACAGAGCTCCCTTATCTGTTTCCCAGGGCAGGATTCTGTTAGGCATTTCCTTTTATCAAACTGGAAGCTGGTGGGAATGGGGGAGGGTTTATATTTTACCCTGCTAGAATACTGTTATTTCTCCTCTCTTTAGGTCATTTCTGTACTTATTTAAATACCTAAATCCATACACCTTAGAGTCAAATTGGAAAAGAATTTAAAAAATAAAATTGTTTTTCATTATGTTGCAATGGTTACTTCTGTTCCCATCCAGTTATTTAACCTTTGAAGTTGGGTGGTCATTTTATTCTTACTTGTGGGATGAATGACTGAGGTGATTGCATATCTCATCAGAAGTACAATGCCATCTTGCTTGAGTGGACAAGCATCTAATAAATACATCTATACTCTGTACAACGTCTTAAGCAGTTCTCTTTAAAGGATATAATGGCTTAAATTAGATTTGTATAGACACCATACTCCGGTGGTCTTGATTATGTCTAAACTGATAATTTCCATTTTACTTGCTTAAAGAGCTCTTTCCATATAGGCACCAAGATTTAAGAAATTGTTCATTTAAAAACATCGTGCAAATGTTTCATTTACATGAACTCTGCTGCTATACAGAAGAGGAGGGCTGGTGCATCTGAATACCATGACAAAATCTTCCCGAGTTCGTGGACTTTGCTCTGATATTCATTCTCTAATGAAGTATCTATTTGTCTCCCTTAGCTCTCTAGATGAAATTGCCTCGGCGCTGTCAATACCATTCAAGACAGGCTGTTTATAATAGTCTCCCAAAACTACTATTGGTAGAATTCATATCAACAATTTCATCATAACATGAGTCTCCAGAGGAGATGGGATGATGAAGAATTACTTGTTAGTAGTTAGGCAATTCTGAGGACAATTGGGAAAAAGACTGTAAAACTCAAGCACATTATAATATGCAGGTATCTATTGAAAAACGTGGCAAATGTTTAACCCCAAACTGCCTTCTCCAAGGAAATCAGATGCAAAGGATTTATTAACCAAGTTTACAAAACACAGCCTATGGTGAGATTTATGTTCTAAGAAAATATGTAGAAAATGTTGTGCTATTATATTACAAACTAGTCATTTTCCCACTTATAAATACATGTAAACTTGCTTGGATGATTCTGTAGTCATGTTGTATAAATATTTACTGATGAAAGTAGTGGTTTTGACACCTCAGTGGGTTTTCTTAAGCACACAAGCATATCCACAAATCAGTATGGCAACTTACTCTGTAAACTGTGGCAGTTTTCCCAGTGCAACCTCGCCTTCTTCCCAGTCAGATTGTATACTGATGGGCCAATATTTTGCACAAAGTGATGGAAATGAACAGTGATTCCCCCCAAAAATACTGTGTCTGTACATAAGATCCTTTTGTGGAAGCTTGTTCTTCCCAAGTGGAGAACCAGCTGCCTCAATCCCACGTTTTAGCAATCTGCCTTCCTTCCCCACATATTTTGGCTGGTTCCTTAAGTATTTGAGTGGTAACCAAAGATACCACTAGAAGGGGTTTAGCCTTATTTTAAAATTGAGTGCTATGTTCACCACCAGATTTCCTTTAAAATTTCTTAGCAAAAGGATCTTTGTTTTAGGACACATGAAATTTTTATAGTTGGTCAAACCTCATGCCCTTTCTTTCTAGTGGTGGGTGTTTTATTTTATAGTAGTTGTCCTGGCTTGTAAGCAGTGGGCATCACTGAAGGGATGAACTCAGGTATTTTGAAGGCATTCCTGTGGATACCAGATACAATCAAGAAGCACTTCTCAGCTCAATGTCAGTGTAGCAGGAGGTTCTGGGATAGGAGTCTCTTTGAAATTTGAGTAGAGGATGCTTGACCATCACAAAGCTCAACCTGTAAGAAGCTCTAATCGTCCTTATACTAGCGGGGAGTTTTTCATATGTGGTACCCTAGGTACTTGCCATGTGGAAATTCCCTTTGCAAAAGGGTGAAAATAAAAACAAAACAGATGAGTTGTTCACAGACCATTGATGCTCTTGTCCACAACTTATATTAATATTCCTATATTGCAGTTGTGAGGAAGGTCTGCTCACATTATCTCCTGATGTGGCTTATTTGTATCAGTACTGGTTAAAGCAAAAGAGACTTTTAATAAGCAGTTTTAAACTCTCACTTGTGCTACCTAAAGGAGTTCCTCATTACTATACTACTTTATGACATAAGAAGAAAAACATGGTTTATATTGCCTTATCAGGAGGCATAACAATGTAAGGAATTTCCTGCTATGAGAAACGGTTGTAGAGCAATTTTTCCTCCAGGAGGAAGGGAAAAGCCCATGAGACTATGAAGTAAACAAAGCATCACATGTTTGAGAAAGCCAAAAGTTGCAAGATTTTTTGAAGATCCCTCCTCAGCTGTTATAGAAGCTGCAAATAACTGCAGGGATGGATAGAAAGGGCAGACTGCCTGTTCGAGCTGCCTGCCTGTTGTGCAGAAGCTCAGCTTTCCTGAGTCTTTACTGTGGTGATATCTTGCTTGTACCAATAAAACCTGTCTGAAGGTTAGAGAATGGAGCTTGCCACTAGCTAACCATAGCGGTCTGGAGGTCTGTACAGACAGACAGGAAGTGAGGTAGGTGGGCAGAAACAGGATAAAAGCCTGGAGAAACAGGCACTTGCTCTCTTGTCTGCTGAGAGGCTAAGGAGCTAAGTTGTGTCATGGCTTGCTCCTTCTCTCTGACCTCAGCATTTTCCTCAATATCTGACTCCAAGTTTTTATTAGTTAGACCGATTAAGAACTCTATTTACATTTTGGCACCCACTTGGCCAGAACATTAATTGCAGGACAAGGTAAATTGCCCCACGAGAATCCCAGTCAAGCCCTGAAGAAGCTGGCAGCTGCCTGCCTTGAGCTCACTCAGTCAAGCCAGCCACTCCTGACTCCTGTCTACTCCCCTCCATCCAGCAATGGCGGTTTACACAATCCCTAGAACTTTTTTCTTTGAATTTGGTGGTTTGACCCAGCTTTTAATTAGACTAAGAGACAGACTCAAAACAGAAAGAAAAAGTAAAATAGCCAATCCTAAAATTTCTTTTTCTGCTGGATCGTACAGAGTTATTGGTGAGTAGAGAAGAAACAGAAAGCTTAAACTTGGTCAAGTATGAAATGCTAAAAACTGTCAATTTTGCTTAATGAAAAGTTTCTGCATCCCGACAAGCCTCTCTGCCGATGCAGCAATCCAAATCAGACCAAATCAAACTGAATTAGAAAAAGCCAACTTTAATGGATACAATGCTCCCAAATGGCCTTCCAGTCCCCCAGAGAGGAGATGGGACCGACTGTAAAACCAAGAATCTATTTTCTGGGAAGCAGTTAAATGACCTGTGGGAGTGGTCTTGAGCACCTCTGGGGAAGGGGTCATTTGGAGGGCTTTCTGAGATGCAGCAGGATTTGGAGAGAGATAGGGGAGGGGGCTTGGGTGGAACTTCCACCATTACATCCCAGACTCTTTGGCAGGAAGAAGCCAGACACGAACTAGTTAGTGTCCATATACCCAGAGTCTGGGATGTTATGGTGAAAGCTTCACCACAGCCCCTGACATCTATATACTCAGAGAGTCTGTTTTTTTTGAAACAGATTTTCTCTGTGTAGCCCTGGCTGCCCTGAAACTTACTCTGTAGACCAGGCTGGTCTTGAACTCAGAGATTCACCTGCCTCTACCTCCCCTCAATAATGATCAGAATTGAATCCCAACCCCCATGATGGGGGCTCAGTGCCCATAACTGGAGCACCAAAGGGTCTGATACATTATCCTTGCCTCAGTGGCACCCACACATGTATACATATGCTAACATGCAGAAATACATAGCTACATCTCTAGGAATAAGTAAAAATGAAAATTCGAACACATTCAAAACATAATAGAATTTGAGAGTGAACACATTTGGTGTTCCTGATCATCAAAATTAAATCAAAATGTTCATCTAGAATGAAATTTCTGAATTGCTTTCCTCCCACAAATAGGTCAGGGAAAAACCAAACATGTGCCCCACGGATGATTTTACTTATGTATGTCCATCATTTTAAAAGTCATTTATGGGATCCCGTTAATCTTTCCTTGAATGATTAATGTGGTGAGCTTCAATATGAGCTGGAATGATGATGGCTCAGTGTTTAAGAGCATTGACTGCTTTTCCAGAAAATTCAGGTTTTACTTATGGCACACACATAGTGTCTTATGACATGCAATCCCAGTCTCAGGACCAGGCATGCACTGGGTGCACATACAAATATTCAGCTAAAACATTCATACACATATAATAAACCAAAACAAACCCTTCACTCATGGATACTGGAATTTGAATTTCATATACTTTTCAAGTCAGGACACGTCCTGCTGCCCAACCATTTAATACTGAAAACCATCCCCTGTCTGTAGGTATATAGCAGACTGGCTCATAGACCAGCTTAACCTTTCTTCTGTAAAGATTGCTGAATCCAAATGAATGGATCAGTCAAATGTATCCAAAACTAAGATTTAGTAAGGTTTTAACAGTCCTGGATAGAAGTTGTTACTATTTCTAGTGAAAAAATCTAAACTGATACAAACAGGAAACTCAGCAATAGCGGCTACTGAACAGGCACATTAGCAGAGAAGATTAAATGTCTAGAAAAACCAAAAAAAAAGAAAAAAAAAACAAAACAAATAGAACACTGCTTCATCTTGAGTTTTTAAAATTAGTAGGTTGTACTAAATATTATTAGTTTAGAAGTCTTACAAAAGCCAAAGATGATCCCCTTCTGTTTTTTTGGAGGCTACCAGGGATGGCAGGCTTTATTGCTCTTATGGAACCACCATCTCCCAGTTGTCAGGTGTTGCTAAAATTCCTTCCTGGGGAGACATAAACATCTCCTCCAACTCCTGGGGTCCCAAGGAAAACGAAGGCATGATTTCCGCTTATGTTCATTTTGAGGAAAAAAAATAAGTTATTTTTTTCCCCTTACAGAGCATAGGTAAGCATTACTACAGTGGTATGGGTACTCCTCTATGCAGCAGTTGGAACAAGAGCCTTTACCAAGCAGGGCCTCTGCTTAGCTGCAAACCTCAGTTCTCCCCTAACCTTCCAGGCCTATGTTCTCTAGGCTCTACAGCACATGTGCAATTAAGGGAGTGCTCTACACTATACAACAGGTGGTTCAGAGCGGTGGATAACCAGGTGAGGGTATTGTGATACTCCCTACCCTTCCAAGATGGGAAGTAATGAAAAAGGGAAAATCCTTTTTCAAGGAGGTGCAGCTGAACTCCCCCAAACAGTAGATACCTGACTTAGAGGATAGTCACTTACAACAGAAAAATTACAGAGGTGAGCCACGACACCAGAAATTCTT